CATCAAATGCCGCCTCAGCCACCCCGCCCAACTCATCGTAGCCAGCGCCTCGACGGCATAATAAGCCACGAAAACGGCCAGGGCGCGCGCAGTCGTCTCGAGCAGGCCGCGCTGCTTGGGGCCGACCTTCCAGAGGACGAGCAGGGGCACGGATGCGGCGGCGAGGATCTGGCCCGCAAAGGTGTTGAGCGCGACGACGAGCGGCGACCAGGGGTAGCGGATGGAGAAGAGCGGGATGAAGGCGCTGTCCCACTGGATGCTGGAGAGGACGGCCTGGTGGCCCGTCTTGAAGAAGTAGAAGCTGCCGAGGACGGCGAGCATGACAGGGCCGATGGCCTCGCCGCGGAGGCGGTTGAGGTCGATGATTTCGGCGAGGCACAGGACCTGCCACATCATGAGGGCGAGGGCGCCGGAGCCCATGGGCTTGGTGACGAGGATGCAGGCCGCGAGGAGGTTGAGCGGGAGGAAGAGGTAGCGGGCGCCCATGGCGTTGCCGTAGCCCAGGATGGTGACGAGCTGGCCCGACTTGGCCGTCGTCGAGAGGATGGAGATGTTGGGCGGGGCCCACGCGAACGAGGTCGAGCCCGCGATGAGGGAGAGGGCGAGGACGATCTGGGCGAGGTACACGCCGGCGGCCTTGAGGGTGCCCTCGGAGACCCGGTCGGCGAGCCAGCCACCGTTGCTGGCGGCGTCAATGGTCCAGTAGAGGGCGGAGAGGAAGAGGCCGCCGCGGAAGAAGTAGCCGATCCACGTCGGGGCGAGGCCCTCGTACGACTTGGACGGCATAAGGAACGCCCTGATGACGTCGGGGAGGACGATGAAGACGGCAAAGGGGATGACCAGCTGCCAGGGCGCCGACGTGGACGACGTGACGGACGCGTAGTATGTCGATGTGCAGTACGGCATCTGCTCCTCGCGGCAGAGCTTCGAGTACGACGCCAGCCGGCCGAGGATGATGAAGGTGACGGTGTGGTAGATGGCCATTGTGCGGTCCACCTTGGACTCGATGCGCAGCGAGGACACGAGCGCGGCGAGCCCAAACGTGGCGATGAAGAAGAGGAGGATGGAGTCTTCCCAGATGGTGTACGAGTTGGAGGCAAAGCCGATGGAGTGGCTCAGCGTGAGAACAACAGACAGCCAGCCCCAGAAGGTGCGCGGAAGGGCGTTGAGCAGTGTCTTGCCAGAGGCGGACAGCGCAGAAATGACGCCCGTAATCAGCAACGTCACGACCAGGGCGGCGAGGCCGTCGAGCGGCTGCTTGCGGTACAAGGCCACGGCAATCAGCACGCCGACGACGAACAGCACCCGCGCGTCCGCCAGGCCGCCCACGAGGTTCCGGTGAAACTGCTGGTCCGGATGCACCTCCTCGTCCTCGTGCTTGAGGTTCATAAGCTCCAGCCGCCTCTCGGCATAGTCGAGCTCGGCATCGTTGGCCACGACAAACTCGTCGTCTGCAGGCCTCGCCGCATACATGACCAGCATCACAAGGCCGACGGCGGTGACGAACACGCCCGCGACCATCCGCGGAACGTCGAACCGAGCCCACAGCCTCTTGTACACCTGTAGCGTCTCCATCTCAAACTCCGTCAGCGCATGGTAGGCGTCCTTGGCGCTCAGCCCAGCAGCATTGGCCTGCGTCCACAGGGCAGCGGGAGAGCCTGGTTCCTCCGTCTGCGAGATTCCGCGGGCCTTGAAGTACGCCTGCCGGTACCTCTCGATTCCGGCGGCCGCAAGTCGCGAAACGGCAGCGAGATTGGCCCAGTCGTTGCCCTTCCGTCCCGCAAAGGCCTCCTCGATGGGCTTGCCGAGGTTGTTGAACGGGATGGGGATGCCCAGCAGTAGCGCAAGGGTCGGCACCAGATCGATCTGGTTGACGGGTCGGATCTTGGCGTTCGCCGGCGGAACGGCAGATTCAGGAGATGTCCTCCCGAAAAAGGGTCGCTTCGAGTACATCCACAAAGCGGCCTCGACCTCATCGTCGCTCTCTCCCCCGTGATCCCCCTTTCCGTCCATGCCGTGATCGCCCATGACAACCAGCAGCGTGTCGTCGTCGATAGACGCCGCCACCTTGGTGATAAACTCGTTCATCTGCTGCAGCTTGGCCGTCATGGCGGCGTGATCAGGGCCGTATCGATGTCCCGCATGGTCCACGCCCAAGCAGTGCCCAATCAGGAGATCCCACCGCCCCTCCCGAGACGACTCCAGCAGCGGAAAGATGTTGTCGATGACGCCGTTGTCGACGGTGTGCAGGTCCCAGACGTTGAAGCTGTCGTACGCCTTGCTGATGTT